ATCCCCAGAGTAGTGGGAAGGTAGAGCGCCTAAATGGGGTCCTGAAGTCAAGAATGTTAAAAATGGCCCAAGAGGTAGGCATGGGATGGCCGGACAGCTTGCCTATTGCTCTTTTCAGCGTTAGATACACACCAAGGGGAAGTCATGGGTTGTCTCCCTATGAGATTTTGTTTGGGTCCGCCCCTAGACTGGGTACCTACTATCCTCAACAATTACAATTGCAGTCTGACTCATTGACAAAGTATGTGATATCTTTGACACATGTGTTGACTAATGTCCATGTGCAAGTATTCTCCTCCATTCCAGATCCTGAGGCGGACATAGGAACACACACTTTACAACCTGGAGACTGGGTCTTGGTCAAAAAGTTTCTGTGAAAACATACATTGAAACCCAGATATGACGGTCCTTTCCAGGTGCTCTTGGTGACTGCCACTTCAGTGAAGTTGGAGGGAAAGTCCACCTGGATACACGCCTCAAATTGCAAGAAGGTTCCAGCTCCAGAGGACGAGGCCCTGTCCGTGTCACCCACACCACAATGATTGTGTTGCATATCCTTTTTTGGTGGGAATGGGAGGGGGCCAACAGGTGGCCATCACTCACAAGGGTGACTCCACCCAGTTTTGGTGACTCCACCCAGTTATGGGGACACACCTGTCCCCATTGCCTCCACAATATATGTATGTGTGACAGATGACTATTGGGGAGATGAGTGTGGATACTGGGGCTCAGTAGGATGGAATACGGGGCCTAACTGGGGGTATAAACCACTAAGTGCTTTAAACCGCAAAGATAAAAATGAGAAGAGCCTAATTGATAGATTGACTATATTTAAAACAGGCACATGTTCATATGAAAAACTAACAGGGAGAACTATGCCACTCACCCTCACCATAGAGAACCCCCGCCCAGGAGATGAGGGGCTTTACTGGTTGGGATACTGGGGACATGGGGGAGTGATGGGAAAATTCTGGATAAGGGATATGTATAGATCAAACCGATGGAAATCTTCCAGAGATACTGCTCCCACCTATAACCCACTTATGCCAAAGATCAAAACGTTGGCAGAGATGGTGGCCATAGCAAATCCTACATACGAAGATACTATAGCAGTAGAAACCGGCCTCTCAGACACTAATCTGTGGTTAGAATGGATGAGATACAATGCAAACTCGCATAATAAGTCCAACTGCTATGTGTGTGGGCATGCCAGACCACATCTGGGGACGGTGCCACTAACCCTACCAGATTCCATAGAGGAGTGTGTCTTAAGCCTGTATACTAACATCTCTACGAACCAGTCTTTATGTGAGAACTGGAAGAAGCGTTACCCCCTAATCCAAGAAGACGAAAAGGCCCCAAATGGTTTAACTATACAGTTGCAAGAAAAAGTATGTGAACCCCTTGGGATTACGTGGAGTTTTGCATGAATTGGGCATAAAATGTGCTCTGAACATCATCTAAGTCACAACAATAGAAGAACACAGTCTGCTGAACATAATACTACACAAACATTAGATGTTGCCATGGTTTAATTGCACATAACATGTAAACATTCACAGTGCAGGGAGGAAAAAGTATGTGAGGCCCTAGCTTACTGACTTCTCCCAGAGCTAATTGGAGCCAGGAGTGAGCCAACCTTGACTCCAATCAGTGGGATGATATTGGATGTGTTGCTGACAGCTGTCCTGCCCTTAAAAAACACACACCTGTTTTGGGTTTACTGATTTCAAGAAGCACTGTCTGATGTGAACCATGCCTTGCAGAAAAGAGCTCTCAGAAGACCTACGATCAAGAATTGTTGACTTGCATGAAGCTGGAAAGGGTTACAAAAGTATCTCCAAAAGCCTTGATGTTCATGTGTCCACGGTAAGACAGACTGTCTACAAATGGAGAAAGTTTAGCACTGTTGCTACTCTCCCTAGGCGTGGTCGTCCTGTAAAAATGACTACAAGAGCACAGCGCAGAATGCTGCATGAGGTAAAGAAGAATCCCAGAGTGTCAGCTAAAGACCTACAGAAATCTCTGGCACATTCTAACATTTTTGTTGACACATCTACAATAAGGAAAACATTAAACAAGAATGGAGTACATGGGATGATGACACCACGGAGGAAGCCATTGCTGTCCAAAAAGAAGATTGCAGCACGTTTGAAGTTTTCAAAAGAGCACCTGGATGTTCCACAGCACTACTGGCAGAATATACTGTGGACAGATGAAACCAAGATTGAGTTGTTTGGGAAGAACACACAACACTATGTGTGGAGAAAAAAAGGCACAGCACACCAACATCAAAACCTCATCCCCACTGTGAAACATGGCGGAGGGAGCATCATGGTTTGGGGCTGCTTTGCTGACTCAGGGCCTGGACAGATTGTTGTCATTGATGGGAAATTGAATTCCAGAGTTTATCAAGACATTTTGCAGGAAAACGTACGACCATCTGTCCGCCAACTGAAGCTCCGCAGAGGATGGGTGATGCAACAGGACAATGACCCAAAGCATACAAGTAATTCAACAAAACAATGGCTGCAACAGCACAGAATACGCCTTCTGGAGTGGCCCAGTCAGAGTCCTGACCTCAACCCGATTGAAATGCTGTGGCATGACCTTAAGAGAGCGATTCACACCAGACATCCCAAGAATATTGCTACACTGAGACAGTTTTGTGAAGAGGAGTGATCCAAAATGACTCCAGATCGTTGTGCAGGTCTGATCTGCAACTACGGGAAACGTTTGGTTGAGGTTATTGCTGCCAAAGGAGGGTCAACCAGTTATTAAGTCCAAAGGTTCACATACTTTTTCCTCCCTGCACTGTGAATGTTTACATGTTATGTGCAATTAAACCATGGCAACATCTAATGTTTGTGTAGTATTATGTTCAGCAGACTGTGTTCTTCTATTGTTGTGACTTAGATGACGTTCAGAGCACATTTTATGCCCAATTCATGCAAAACTCCACGTAATCCCAAGGGGTTCACATACTTTTTCTTGCAACTGTATATCCCGGCAATTATACCTGCTATGCTATGCCAATTATGAGGGAGGAGGAAGGTTCCTGGGGAATTTCACAAAGGGATTCTGTGCTGCTTATAGTACAACTCGGTCAGATCTAACCCAGAACCAGGTCATATCATTGGGGGATATATTCTGGATCTGTGGTGATCAGAAGATTAGGACCCGACTGATAGGGAAATGGAGTGGGGAATGTACCCTTGCCAATGCCATAATGCCATTGCACATCCTCTCAGATCCATTACTTAAGAGGCCTTCCAACCCCCCCCATGCAACCAAGCACAAACGAAGTGCCCTACAAGGGAGTTTTGACCCCCATGTCTATATAGATGCGATAGGAGTCCCAAGGGGGGTACCCGATGAATTCAAGGCCAGAGACCAGGTGGCCGCAGGATTTGAATCCCTATTCCTCTTCATCACTGAGAACAAGAATGTAGATTGGATAAACTACATCTACTATAATCAACAACGGTTTGTAAATTACACACAAGATGCCCTAAAGGGGATAGCAGAGCAGTTGGAGGCTACTTCTAACATGGTCTTTCAAAATCGTATGACACTCGATATGTTATTAGCTGAAAAGGGGGGGGGGTTTGTAAAACGATACCAAAGACCATGACCTGCTGTACGTATATCCCAGATAACACAGGCCCAAATGGGAAGGTGACACTGGCCATCAAGAGGTTGGAGGACCTGTCAAATTAACTTAAGGAAAACTCTGGTATTACACATCCCTGGGATCAGTGGTTTGGATGGCTGAGTGGCTGCCAGAAAGCCCTCGCCCAAGCAGGGGTGGTTATCCTGGGTATTATCATTCTAATGGCAATAGTCGCCTGCTGTGTGATCCCTTGCATTAAGAGGCTAATAGGGAAAGCTGTGAACGAGATCTCCCCTACATTCCTGAACTATAACAATGTTGAACTCCCCCGTGAAGAAAGGGAATCCTATACTCCCTTACAGACCATGGCCCCTGATCATCATATTTCAGACTTATAAAAAAAGGGAATGCTACAAATTCCCCCCCCCCCCCCAACAGACAACTATAAGCAGGGAAAGACAGTGCCTGACTGTGGCCTTCTCAGGACGTATCGAGACTCTAGGGATGGATTAGCCACTCAAGGGCTCTATATGCGTCTTAAAAAAGTTCCAAGGGGAAGTGTCCACGGATGGAAGAACACGCAGAAAGAAACCCAGTGGACTTTTCACCCAATCAATGTAAATGCTTTGCCTGCATCATAAGCCCTATAAATGATACTGTTAGTTCCTCAATAAAACAGAATTTTAGGAAGTTGGCAAACTGCGAAGTGTCAGTGTCTTACTTCCACGTGCACGTATTCTCATATTAATTTGGCTCACTGGTAGATCACCAGGCAGTTAGGACATCAGAAGATATAGGGACAGTCAGGAATAAAATAGCCATTTTAAGGGGGTATTGTAGTGGATTGTGATAGACAGTCCACGTTTTATTAGATGATCAGTAAAATGACAATTTTATAGTCTTGCTACATTCTGTTTCTTGCTTTTTAAATCCCTTACTCTCTTAAGTAAACAATCATATATAGGTTGACAGAACAATGATGATAATTAAGATGGCGCCTTCATCCGGAGTCTCACTCTTGGTGACTCATTAGGAGAAAAGTATCTTTTAATGTAAACAACCCCCATAAAAGGGAATGAGTCTCTTTGGGGACAATGATTGGAAGATATCAACACGGATGGAAGAACACGCAGAAACCCAGTGGACTTTTCACCCAATCAATGTAAATGCTTTGCCTGCATCATAAGCCCTATAAATGATACTGTTAGTTCCTCAATAAAACAGAATTTTAGGAAGTTGGCAAACTGCGAAGTGTCAGTGTCTTACTTCCACGTGCACGTATTCTCATATTAATTTGGCTCACTGGTAGATCACGGTAAATGGTCTGTAAGTGACCTAGTCCAAGACACTACAATAGTAGAGCTTCATGTACATCATGTTTTATTTCCATTCTAGGTGGATATTGAATTCACAAATTTTACCTCTACTCCTGGAAAAATACATGCTGTACAATTGTGGTACAATGAGTGACCAGGGGCAGACTGACCATTTGGAAACTCGGGCACTGCCCGAGGGCCCGGGGTCAGTAGGGGGCCCCATGAGATGCCCCTGGTACCTTTTTCATGGGTTTTTTTGAGTTTGGGCAAGGAAACAAGGGCCCCATGATCCCCTATTGCCTGGGGGCCCCATGAGCTGTCAGTCCGCCCCTGTGAGTGACCCAGTGCACACAACAGAACAAAAGATAAATAAATGCATAAAATTGTAAATGAGGTTTTGCTAACAAATTTTATTTATTAGCAATTTGCTTCTGATATCTCTAGTCGGTTCAACTTAGTAGTGCCTTGAATCCGGAAGACCATAACGCTTTATTGCTGATATTGCATAAATACTGTAAAAAAGGAGGGCAGTGCAGTGGGGGATAATGTGAATGGGGGGCAGGTGATATGAAGAGGGGCAGTGATGTGGTAGGATGATGTAAAGAAAGGTTGGGTGCTGTGTAAGGGGGCAGTGCTGTGGGGGGGGGGTGAAGGGGGAAAGTGCTGTGAAGGAGGGGAATTCTGTGGGGTGATGTGAAGTGGACAGTTGATGTAAACGAGGCAGGGGATGTAATAGGGGCAGTGCTGTGGAGGATGATGTGAAGAGATCAGAGCGCACTACCATGGGGGGAGAGGGTGTTTGTAATGTGAGGAGGCAGTGCAGTGGGGGGGGGGGTTGTGCAGTGGGTAGTGATACAAAGCGGGGCACTGCAGAAAGGGTGGGTGATGTGTGTGCAGGGGAACAGCACCGGGGGTGGGGTGGGAAGGTGATGTGAAGGGTGAAGTGCTGTTGTGGGGTAATGAAGGGGGACAGTGCTGTGGGGGTGGGTGATGTGAAATCATGCTACTGTGTGTGTGTAGTGGGGTGGATTTGTAATGTGAAGGGGCAGTATTTGTGGGGGGTGATGTGAAGTGGGGCAGTGCTGTGGGGGGGGGGGGGGTTATGTGAAGGTGATCAGTGATGTGGGGGGATTTGTAATGTGAAGGGGCAGTATTTGTGGGGGCGTGATGTGAAGGGGCAGTGCTATGGGGGGATGCACCGGGGGGGGGGGAGGTGATGTGATGGTAGAAGTGCAGTTGTGGGGTAATGAAGGGGGAAGTGCTGTGGGGGTGGGTGCTGTGAAGACCACACTACTGTGTGTTTGGGGGGGTTGGATTTGTGATGTGAGTGGAGCAGTGTTGTGGGGGAGTGATGTGAAGGGGGGCAGTGCAGTGGGGGGTGATGTGAAAGGGATCAGTTCTGTGGGGGGATTTGTAATTTGAAGGGGCAGTGTTGTGGGGAGGTGATGTGAAGGGGACCACTGCTGTGGGGGGATTTGTAATGTGAAGGGGGCAGTGCTGTGGCGGGGTAATGCCTGTGCAGGGGAACAGCACTTGGGGGGTGAAGTGGGAAGGTGATGTGATGGTTGAAGTGCTGTTGTGGGGTAATGAAGGGGGGTAGTGCTGTGGGGGTAGGTGATGTGAAGACCCCACACTGTGTGTGTGGGGGTTGGATTTGTGATGTGAGGGGAGCAGTGTTGTGGGGAGGGGTGATGTGAAGGGGGGCAGTGCAGTGGGAGGTGATGTGAAGGGGATCAGTGCTGTGGGGGGATTAGTAATGTAAAGGGGGTTAGTGCTGTGGGGAGGTGATGTGAAGGGGGGCAGTGCTGTGTGGGGGGGAGTGATGTGAAAAGGTCAGAGCACACTACTGTATGTGGGGGGTGATTTTAAAGGGGTTAAGGACACTACTGTGAACAAAGGGGGGGGGGGTGTGTGTGATGTGAAGGAGGTTCAGTACACAACTGTGAAGAAGGGTTTGGGGTGATGTGAAGGGGGCTGGGAACACTATTCTGAAGGGAAAACTATGATGTGAAGTGGGGGACTGTTGACACTAATGTAGGAACAGAACTGTACTATAAGGGGGGGCTGTGATTGGAAGGATCTGAGTCTGCACACAAATACAGTATGTGATTCAGATTTCTGTTAGAAGAAAACTTTACTGATTGGACCTCCGAAAATTTTAATTCAATAACCTAAAGCATTCAATTTCAGTCCTCCCTTGGTTGCTGCACAAAAACTTTAGGTACGGTGGTGAAGAACGTCTGGAGGAGCAGGGCCATCACAGACAATAATTAGACACTCCCAGAAGAAGTGAGGGCTATGATGTGCAAAAAGGAATGGGGCTTAGGGAGCTATCTGGTCAAACTTTCTAGCGATTCCAAAGGCAAATTACAAGTGAAAAAAGAATAATTTATGTAAAGGAAATGACTGGAAGTGAGCATATACAGTAAACAACTTGATTTTTTTGTTTTGTTTTGGCCTGCAACTTTATAAGTTAAGGTACCAAAGTCTCAAAGTGTACACTCTCCATAATTTCATTAGTGTCTTCACCCGTTTCACTGAAGTTCAGCTTTTAGGATCTGCCAAACTGGGACTGTGAAAGGATAAGTTCACCTTTTGGAACATGTAAGTGATAAGATAAAGTGAGCGCTCTTGGTATAGCAGCTGTAGCACTAAAGGTAACCATGTAAACCTCAATAAAACTGTATGGATAAAAGTGCAGCGCTAGTGAAATAACTATACAATACGACAATAAAAGTTCATAAATAATTAGTATTGATGAATGATCCCCACTGTAGCAGAATTCAAATGGTTGTGCTTGGAAGTACCGGTAAATTTGCGCACTCACCAGAAGCACATGGGATATGCATATATAAATATATCCACCATGGACCACTTAGGGAGGCAGGATATGTCAGGCATCTGGTAAACTTCCTTCGAGGTGTGGGACAGCACAGCAGTAAATCTTGGGATTAAGTGAAAATCTGCTCATCCAGAGAGCCCCTTTAGGATGGATGGGTGCTCAGCCTTGTTACAGGGCTTCCCTCCTCTGGGTGCTGGTTAGGTGAGGATCATCTACAGGCTCTGTAATCAATGGCTCCAAGAAAGAGCCACAAAAGAAGTGCCCATAGTGTAATAATTTGAGAAAACTTTATTCCATGGAAGTGAGGTAAAAAGGGTACACAGTAATGCAGAGTTAATGCAGCACTTAGAGGAGCAGGGAGAAAAAGCAGCCAGATCTGTAAGTAAAAGCAGCACACATTACAACTGTTAAGCGCACAGTTAACCCCTTCATTGCCCAGCCAGTGTCAGTTAGCCCCAGATTGCCTGCCATACTATCACAATCACACTGTATTGTATGTCACTGATCACTGACATTGCTAGTATTGAGTATTAATGTCTGTATGGATCAGTATCTTGATCATGATAAAAACTATACTAGTGTCCCCAATAGTATACTGTCCCCAATAGTATAGTGTCCCCAGTAGTATAGTGTCTCCAATAGTATAGTGTCCCCAATAGTATAGTGTTCCCAATAGTATAGTGTCTCCAATAGTATAGTGTCTCCAATAGTATAGTGTCCCCAATAGTATAGTGTCCCCAATAGTATAGTGTCCCCAATAGTATAGTGTTCCCAATAGTATAGTGTCTCCAATAGTATAGTGTCTCCAATAGTATAGTGTCCCCAATAGTATAGTGTCCCCAATAGTATAGTGTCCCCAATAGTATAGTGTATCCAATAGTATAGTGTCTCCAATAGTATAGTGTCTCCAATAGTATAGTGTCCCCAATAGTATAGTGTCCCCAATAGTATAGTGTCCCCAATAGTATAGCGTTCCCAATAGTATAGTGTCTCCAATAGTATAGTGTCTCCAATAGTATAGTGTCCCCAATAGTATAGTGTCCCCAATAGTATAGTGTCCCCAATAGTATAGTGTATCCAATAGTATAGTGTCCCCAATAGTATGGTGTCTCCAATAATATAGTGTCCCCAATAGTATTGTGTCTCCAATAGTATAGTGTCTCCAATAGTATAGTGTCCCCAATAGTATAGTGTCCCCAATAGTATAGTGTCCCCAATAGTATAGCATCTCCAATAGTATAGTGTCCCCAATAGTATAGTGTCCCCAATAGTATAGTGTCCCCAATAGTATAGCGTCCCCAATAGTATAGTGTTCCCAAAAACACAGTTTGGCTGCTACCATTTTGGTAGAAAATGTTTTTTTTTTTTTTGTTTGGTCTTTTTTTTTTTTTTTTACATTTTGCACGTGCCCCCTGACGAACCACTTTGTGATTGAACACAGCAAGAGTTGGTCAGCAGGTTTCAGCTAATGATTTTGGGTTGAAACGTGCTGATCAGATGTGTCCAGTCACAGCACAGAGCTCTGTGTTTTACACAAACACACATAACAGCAATCTGGTTGTTTCTTCTCCCTGAAAAGCAGGGAGAAAAAGCAGCAGATCTGTAAGTAAAATCAGCACACATTACAACTTTTAAGCACACAGTTAACCCCTTAATGCCCAGCCAGTGTCAGTTAGCTCCAGATTGCCCGCCACACTATTAAAGTCTAACTGTATTGTACATCACTGATCTTGCTAGTATTAAGTACTAATGTCTGTACAGATCAGTATCTTGATCACGATCAAAACTATACTAGTGTCCCCAATAGTATAGTGTCCCCAATAGTATAGTGTCCCCAATAGTATAGAGTGTCCCCAGTAGTATAGCGTCTCCAATAGTATAGTGTCCCCAATAGTATGGTGTCCCCAATAGTATAGTGTCCCCAATAGTATGGTGTCCCCAATAGTATAGTGTCTCCAATAGTATTGTGTCTCCAATAGTATAGTGTCCCCAATAGTATAGCGTCTCCAATAGTATAGTGTCTCCAATAGTATAGTGTCTCCAATAGAATAGTGTCCCCAATAGTATAGTGTCCCCAATAGTATGGTGTCCCCAATAGTATGGTGTCCCCAATAGTATAGTGTCCCCAAAAACAATTTGGCTGTTACCATTTTGGTAGAAAATGTTTTTTATTTTGGTCCTTTTTTAAAAATTGTTATAATAAAAAACCCCAGTGGTGATCATATACCACCAAATGAAAGTTCTATTGCTGTGGAAAAAAAATTATAAAAAGTTCACTTGTGTACTTAGTTAAAGTAGCGCAGTGCTAGTTAGGGACGTAACTGGAATTGATTGTCTTCCTAACAACAGAATAAAATTTCTTCAATAAAGTTTGCAAAATTATTTGTTGTGTATCAATTGCCTAAACA